GAAAAGGATTACCAAACATATTAAATAAATAGTCTTATATAAAAATTCTCACTACACACATTTTTCTACATGATCTGATCTATGTAGTAGTGTAACAGATATAAAATCATATGCTTAAAAAGCAACCAATCGAAACACACCATTCACTAACATCAAAAAAACTTACTGCACAGTACACATGATTCTATTTATATATCACTTATGATCTACAATAATTTAAATAGTTTGCTCAACTACTTATGTAAAGTTAAAATCAACCAAAGAAAAAAATTAAAATTAAAATAACAAAATACAAAATAAAATATAAGAAAAAACAATAAAATTTCGCCTTACTAAAAAAAAAGAGCAAAATCATATTACAGGTACATCACAAACCAAAATGACCATTTAAAATATTTCATTTCTCTTTTCAAAATTCACATATAAAATCAAATCATTTCTTTCACATTTGCACTAAACTACCAACAACTACCACATTCACTCAAAATTCTAATATATTCACTAAAATAAATATATATAAGTGTGTAGTGTATCCCACTTCATAAAATTGTAAAGTGAATATAATAGCAATCATAGAACGCTACATTACAACATAAACTCATGTTTCAATTTTACTCTTAGTATCTCTGTCAAAACCACACATCCAAAGAGCAGCAACCGGTAATATCGATAAAAGAGGTAAAGTTCAAAATTCTGACTATCATCTTGCAAAAAAAAAAGAAACGTTAAAAAATCAAAAAAAAAGAAATTTAAAAGAAAAAAAAAAAATTAACAATACTCACTTCACAACACTCATCCGAGGTTAATAATATGACATAAACTTGGACGAAAAAAAGAAGTCAAAACTTTGCTCAAAGATATAAGATGATCAAAGAAGCGCTTCTTTAATTGAGTTTCGTATAACTTGACGGCATTCTATATCGAAATCGATCATCAAATACCTAACACCATAATGTGTACTAAAAAAAAAAAAAATTTTTAATTTGTTAATTCCACTATCCAATTATGAAAAAACAAAACTAGCAAATTCATCCAACATTACCTAGTAGATAAATTTTTCTGAAAAAGTATAAATTATCATATTCCAATATATGATATCGTTTATCATAAACATCAGGAGCACAGTAATAAAAACTTGGAGAATAAATAAGCAGAAGAACAAGGGCAAAATTCTTTTAGAATACGAATTCGACAACAAACTACTGACAAATTTAAAAAAAATAATGAACAACTTAAAGAAAATAACAATGAAGAAAACGAAAAATTCAGGATAAATCGATACCAATATGAACCAGCATGTTGGACTATATGTAATAAGCGATAAGCACCCGACAAACAAATAATAAGAATCGAAAAATTGAATGAACGAAAAAGACACTCGACAAAAATACTCAAACGCTGGATGTTCAAAATCAGAAATAATGGGCAAACCAAGTAAAGAAAAAATAGCGGCATTTACAGCAACGATGCAAAGAAATATAGAAGGCATACTGAAAAATAACTCAAGGATAAACAATGAAAAAAAATTAAACAACACAGATAGCCAGAGCAAACCTTTATAAAGATTCGTAACGTAAGCAAGCTAAATCAATTATCATAATAACACAAAATTATCACACACCATACTAACTAAAACTCATCTTACTCACTAACATACAATGATACCCCTAAGCGAAATCTTATTTACGAATGACTGCATTAGACCAAACATCAAAATCACAATAACTCATCCTCCAAAAACTGTTAAAACATCAAACCATTATATCAAATAAAACGTTTAAAATCCAATGTCTTCTACAACCCATCACCCAACAATTACATTCACTATTCCCGAATTTATCAAAACGCAAACAGAACATAAGTACAAATTCGCTTCTATAACAATTTAGCATAGAACAACTCTAACAATTATTTGACACCTTGCACAGGCACCGAACAAAATAACGCACAATAATCGCCTAAAGATAACAACCTTTAGAAATTCCACAAAAAAAAATATATATAAGCCAAAATTTAGATCCCCGCAGTAAAAAACTTAAAAAAAGATTGAACCACACAAATCCAATCAAAGAACACGCCTTAAAACCTATGAAACAACAAAATTCATACAACAGTGCCATTGCAAGAAAACAACAACTTAGACACATCTCACAATCCTCAAATCTTACCGACACAAGAAAAAAAACCCCATCACCAACACGACACACCACCCGCTCACAATCAGACTAAACAAAAGAACATCACGAACGAAAACCCAAAACAAAACA